TTTCAAATATTAGATGAGTTGCCTAAATAGGAATTTAAGGACAAATTTGGGTCTCTTTATCTAAATGTTTAAAGATAATAGGATATGTATATATTCCTATTCTTTATGAGAAGATTTTTGTATGGATTTGCTATAAACTTCTTTGGATCCTATCCATTTATTCAAGTTTTTATGTTATGTTTTAGTAGTTTGGCTCTTTTAATTTTCCAATATTGTTACTTCCCATTTGACACGAAAAATCAATAATTTTTTGAGATTTACAATGAAACTACTATACTTTTAGTATCGTATTGCTTATTGCCTTACTCTCAAGATTATTTTACTGAAAATACACTGTAAAAATCTTTTAATAATTATTGAATACTTTAGAGAGCTAAGGACAAATCTCGGATGGGTAATTGTTGGGATCATAGGTATTAACATATTTTTAAACCAATTGAATCTGGTTGTTTCAGTTTTTCTAGCCATCTACATTTTGATAAAAAGAATACTTCACAAGAGAATGCTAAAGAAGCTAAATGATGAAAAAGAAAAGAAAAATGCCTCATATGAGATGATGAATTTAGATGAAACTAAGAGCCTTTCATAGAATATATCACTTGATTTATAAACTGCAATCAGTACCATGGATTTTGATGATGGGTTCATAGTCAATAAGCCAAAAATAATAGAATAATAAGCAAAGCAGAAAGTAATGAACTTAAGCTAGGGAAGAAAATTCTTGTAACAAATTAAAAATCCTATGATCCCCAGACCAACCAAAATAGCAGATTAAATTAAATTAGATCCAGAATTAGTTTAAGGTGATATTGAGATGTTAAAAGAATTGAATAAATCTCGAAAAGATAATAATAATAATATAGCTGTTCAAAATGTGGGACAATTCAGTAATGTTGACGAAATATATGATGACTTTGATAATAAACATCAAGATTTACTGCTTACTGATTTTTGTAATCATGCAACAGAAGATCTATCTTTTCAATAGGAAAAATAAAAATCGTAATTAAACCTACTTAAACCAATAATGTATTAGAATCCTAAATTTATAGCTAATAACAAAATTCTAAAAATTGGTAGAAGACTAAAATAATGAAGGTATATTAAAATAAATGGCAATGATTAAATTTTAAAAGATATTTTATTTCCTTGACATTTTTAAATGATTATTTTAATATTGTGGGGTTTTGGGGTTTTGGGG